AATCGGAAACCTTCCGCGACGCATTTGGACTGTGCGTTTAATCAAAATATTTCAATAAAAAAAAAAACCATAAAAAAAAGAAAGAAACAATTCAACCATTTCAAAGCCCTTAGTCTTGATGATGATAAAAAAAAAAAACAACTATATCGCGGTATAAAATATGTATTTAAATTAAATAATTAAAACTAAACGGAAACTTAAGTCAATAAAAAATAAAACATAAAAACTAGCATTAAAATAGTCGTTCGTTTCAAAGTAAATAAATGCATAACTGCGAGATCAAATGCAAAGGAAAAAAATAAATCCAATGCGTCGTCTGCGAATTGTCAAAGGAAAAAAAAAAAAAATAAAAAGAAAAATGTCGACGTACGTAGGAAGACACACAAGTTCACAATTATTATCTAATACGTATACAAGGTATGTGGTTTTGCTTAAAATCTCTTTATCTTAAACTTTCTAATTAGATAATAATCAAAATATTCGATAGTCTTCATTCGTTCGTATATTAATATATGTCAAGATGTATTGTAAATATTCGTACAATAAAATCACACACGTACACACTCGCATAAACAAACATACAAATATGAACGAAAAAAAAAAAAAAACAGAAATTCTTATTTTAAATATATAGAAAGCATACTTTTTCCTATTAATCTTCTTTTCCTTCCATATTAGACTTCAGTTTTCCTTCCTTCTGTATATCTTCGAGATGTTGACTGATATCAAAAAGAAAAAGGGAAGAAAAAACAAGCCGAGAGATTGAAATCTCTCGGCCCTAGGCTCGGCACTCGTAACTAGGGTTCCGATCGACCGGTGCCGAAGCCCACCTTCCAAACTTCCGTACAACACCCTTGCACTTTCATAGTTTTTTTTTTTTTTTTAAATATCTATATATATATATATATACATACATGTTTATGTGTGCGTATACATATAAAATTGTTCATTTATTTAAATAGAAAAAGAAAAGAAGCTCAGCATCCTTCGTTTCCACTCTCCCTGTGCCTTCCTAGTGCCCATTTGATTTACTTTTGTTACGTACCTGTTGTTCGAGATCACCAATCGCGTTCCCTGTCCACCCTGTATGAATCTACATATATATGTGTATATTTATACACGTGACTATCATTAAAGAAGTTCCAAATAAACTTCCTTATAGATAGACACGTAATCAAATGATCTACATGTTCTTAAAATTCTGTTTATGGTGTGTAAGTGTATGTAATTAATATATATATAAAGATTAATAATATAAAAATTGAAAAAATACGTGTTAGCAGCAAGTATTCAATAAAATGTGAATTAGGCACACATTTATCAAAAAATTGGGGCACCAGGAGCAAATGGAGACGAGTTCGAAAAAAATGTGCTCTTTTCATTTCCATGTTCTTTTTTTTTTTCATCTCCTTTTTGTTCTTAAGCTTATTTTTTTTTTCTTTTGTATGTATATATAAAATTGAGGAAATTAATTTTTCTGTCATGTGAAAAAGTTCAAGGGTTGTTAAGTACGGGGATTGGGGGGTGGACCTCGCGCGCCCTGCCGACCAGGACTTTGTACCTCACACAACTCCCTAGTTACGAGTACCGATACCTAGTGACATTTTTCTATTTCTTATCCATTTAGATTTTGTTTCCACCATCATTCAAGTTATTCCGCAGACTCGTTCGCGTACGGCTTTAGAATAATTAATAGTTTCTCGTTAGTTTGATTATATAGTATAAGTACCTATGCAAATTCATCGGCATACTAAATCTCGTTTCGCAACCTGTCAGGCAGCATCCGTTTAGTTTTCATTTTCTTCCTTTTTTTTTTTTTAAATGACGATGAAACACACGCGCGAATTATTTTCATCTTCACAGAATTTTCTTGCTTGAATTTCTAATTGTGACGAGGCCTCTTCCTTCGATCATCGAACTTTCTTTTTTCTTTTGACGATGAAAAAATTCATAAATTTAAACGACGATCGATTTAGAGACCTTTTCACTAATAAGAAATATTATAATATAATAATAATAATAATTAATAATATTATTATACATATATAGATCGATTCTTTCGCAAATTCGTACAATGATATATTAAAAATCGATTGATTATATTAATTAATAATCATCTCTCTCTCTCTCTCTCACTCTCTCTCTCTTTATCTTTCTTTTTTGACTCATCGCATCTTTCTTCGTGTCCTTAGTCGTATCAAAACGTAAATATATATATATATTTGTAATAATATACACATACAGACAAGAGTAGTCGTATTACGTCGCTTTTTACTTTTTATTTTTTTTTTTTTTTTATAATTATTATTATTTTTCACTAGAAATTACTTGAAGCTTGATAATAAGTTAAAGACTGATAAGAATATTTACCTACAAAGTTCGGATTTTATTTTTATTTTTTTTTTTATTACGCGCGCATATTCAAAATGTATGATTTTTATTTTAATTTTTGTTTTTTGTTTTGTTTTGTTTTTTTTGTTGCAAAAGAGACAAGAGCAAAAGTACGTCTCGCGATTTAAAAATAGACACAAGTGCATCCACTTCCTCTTTCACATCCACCTACTCCTTCTCCTCTTCCTCCACCACTTTCGTCTCCTCTTTCTCAACTATGGCCGCGATTATTTTTTTAATCTTTTCTTTACTTTTCTTATATTTTTTTTTTTTTTTTATTATTCTTATTAGTATTATTATTTATTTATTTTATTTTATTTTTCTTTAAATAACCTTAATCCTATTACGTATATCCTGATCACGATTACTTCATTAATTAATTAATATTTAAATGTTAACACGATTTTTCGTTTTCTTTCTTTCTTTCTTTCTTTCTTTCTTCGTTCCTTTCTTCCATCCTTCAATCTTTGTTTAAATAATAGAAAATAAACGGCAAAACACAAAAGTATTAAACAAAAGACTACGCGTTCAAATTATTTTCTTCAATTGTCAAATAATAAGAATAATAAAGAAGAAATAAAAAATCAAATTTTCCCGCCGATGATCGGATTAATCCGATTGGTGAGAAATGAAAAAAAAAAAACAAACAAAAAAATTAAAGAAAAAATTCGTACGTAAAATTTGACGCGTTGCCCTTCGAACCGCCCTAACCGCGAGTAGACCTCGAAAAATGGTGAGGGGGGGGTTAACGTCAAGGATAAAACAAAATTGTTAACAAATATTTGAACAATGTTAAACAAAATGAAGGAATAAAAAAGTAAGAAAGAAAGAAAGAATGAAAGAATGAAAGAATGAAAGACAAAATTGAAGCATCGCATCGACGATTCATCGCCACGCTAACTCACTCACTCCCTCTCTCTCTCTCTCTCTCTCTCTCTCTCTCTGACTTACAAAAAAAGGGATTAGAATTAAAATTAGAATTAAAAGAAGAGAAAAAGAAGAATAATATGAGGATGAAGTAGATGAAGTAGCAGAAAAGGAGAGGTAAATAACCGAGAGACAGAGAATTTGTTGCATAATCCACGTGTTTCATTTCTCTTTCTCTCTATCTTTCACTACTTAACTTAATCTTTCTCTGTTTCTCTTTCATTTCTGCACTCTGCCTCAACCTCTTTTCATCTCTCTCACTCTATCTCTCTCTCTGTCCATTCGCGATAATGGGCCATTACGACAATTTCGTTGCGAAAATATCTCGAAATATGTTTTCGCGAATTCAAATTCAAACACGCATCGATGTCAACGAACGAACAAGTTTCTTACACAATCAGGTTTTATTTCTCTTTCTCTCTCTCTCTCTCTCTCTCTCTCTCTTTATTAACTTTCTTCTCGTTCTTAACTATCTTTCTTATCCGCGTTAAAATATTTACAAAAGAAATATGAAACTTAACAAGGATAACATCAAAAACGAGGTATATAGAAATCGACTAATGAAACAACGAAGAAACTCGACAAAATCGATTATTTTTTTTTTTTTTTTTTTTTTTTTATAGGAAGCCTGTCGTCGCTAAATAACAATAGTAATTACAATGATTATGTACACATCGAGAGAGAGAGGGAGAGAGAGAGAGAGAGAAAGGATTGAAGAGAAACAGAGAGACAGAGATAGAGAAAGATGATCCGACAAGTAGCGCCAGTCCAGCAAACAAACCGTCGCGAACCAATCACGGAAATTTTGTTCGAATTTAACAAATAAACAAATGACAAAAATGAACTACAAAGATAGAGAGAGAGAGAGAAAGAAGAAAGAATGATAGGTAAAAAAAGAATGGAAAAGAGAAGGAGGGAAAGAGAGAGAGAGAGAGATTGTGAGATAATTGTAAGTATAAGAATATATAGAATAATGAAGAATAAAATGTAATAATAAGGGCTGCTCGCGGTGGTACGAGGGCCAATTACGAGCACGGGTATACGGCCGAGCTGATGGTGTGGTAGGCGGCGAGGGCGGCGTGCGCGTGCGCAGGGGGCGCGGATGCGGCTGCGTGCGGCGAGGTGGCCATCGCGGATGCCGCCGCGGCTGCCATCATCATCTGTTGGTGCGTACGCTTTAGGGAGTTGGGAGTTGTGGCGGCGCTACTTGGGGTAATAGCGGTATTATTGCTGGTGGTCGTGTGACTGTTGTTGTTGTTATTGTTGTTGATGTTGTTGTTGTTGTTGGTACTGTTACTGTTACTGTTACTGTTACTGTTATTGTTACTGTTACTACTACTATTGTTGTTGTTGTTGCTGTTACTGCTACTGTTGTTGTGGTTGACTGTCGTGCTCGACTGCGAAGTCGCAGACTGATGGCTTTGACTTTGGTTTTGGCTCAGTTGTAAAGAAGGGGTGCTGCTAGTACTCGCGGTACTCCCGATACCACCGTAATTATTACTATTGCTATTGTTATTCTGGTGGTGATGGTGGTGGTGGTGGTGATGGTTTTGGTGATGGTTTTGGTGATGGTGGTGGTGATTATTATGGTGATTGTGGTGATTGTGATGGTGGTGATGGTGGTGGTGGGGGGTGAGCGCGTCGTGCGGATAGTAAGACGTTGACGATGGTGAGGTACTCACGACGTCGGGCGTGCTAGCTCCGTCCGTGTGGCTGGTGCTGTCGGCTGTGCTCCTTGGACCGCCTCCGTCTAGCCCGTTACCCATTTCTGGTGGCTTCGAGCTCTCCCGGTCGTCGATCACCAGGTCGATCGGCATCTTACCCTTCAGACAGCTGATGTATCGATGGCAGAAATTGTCGCAGAGCTCGTGCACCTGAAAACAAAACCTTTTAACGTTAGACTAGGATCATATACTTTATTATTATCATTATTATTATTATTGTTATTATACGCTTTCTAAACTGATAGAAGAGAAGTATACATATATATATATATATATATACCAAGAAGGAGATGGAGAGGAATGGTGGTGGTGACCAGTGGCCACTCGACCGGAATGTTATGTATGCAAATGAGCACCGGCGGACCTATAGGACCCACCTCTCCATCCTCCTCCTCCTCCATTCGATTTAGAAAAAATGTATTATATAAGGGAGGAGCAAATAAAAATCGTTATCTTGTTATATGTAAATCAAGGGGGACCAGAGTGGGGAGCTTCTTCCACGGAACCTTCTTCTCCCCATCTTTCCTGCTACTCTCTTTCTTTCTTTCTTTCTTTCTTTCTTTCTTTCTTTCTCTTTCTCGTTAGGTATTTATCTATAAGGGAGAGAGAAGAACAAGCTCCGTGTGTGGAACGTCCAATGGTAGGTCGAGAGCGACTTTGACCCGAGGATATTTTTGCAAGAGAATGTAAAGAAAATGGAGACAGGTAATAGGATAGATATTTTCTTGTATCAAAAAATAACCAAAAAAATATAAAAAATAGAGAAAGGAGAGTACTATTAGAAAGTGATTAATTTTTTGCAGCCATGTTTTTCTAGACTTTTGTTTTTTTTTTTTTTTTTTCGTTAGGTGCGAGCTTTCACGGTCTTTTCTTTCCTTAGAAGAATTTTCTTGGAATAATAAAATGAAGAATAGAAAGGAATATGGTAGCGTGACGACACGGTAACACAATGCCTTCGACGAGATGACTAGACTCTCTTTAACGTAGCTTCGAAGGATGAAGAGAAGGAAGAGAAGGAGGAGGAAAGAGCTCGAAGGACAGCGGTTGTAATGCCCAACTGGTTAGAATTTGATCCGCCGGGAGTCGAGTCGAAGCAACCGGCCTACAATGCTCACCGAAGAAAAGAAACGAGGCCCTGGCTCCTGCCTGCTCGATGATCGCCGAAAGGACTCGTCCTTCCTTTGCCAGGACGCTCACGCACACTCAACCCAACCAACCAACCAACCAACCAACCAACGAGAGATATCGACTTTTTCTTTTTTTTTTATCTATAGGGATTTTTGGGCATAGTTTTGTTCGTCCTTTTACTTTGACTACTTTCATTTCAGACTTCTTCTTCTTCTTTTCGTATGATATCTCGAAAAGATCCATGCTACATTGATGATGATGATGATGATGATGATGATGATGGTTGTGGCGGTGGGATGGTGCTGAGAGCTCAGATTTTGATACGCTTCAGTGAACATCCTAGTATCCTTCGAGATTCTTATTTTTCTGTGGGGACCCCAACCCACCCATTTCTATCTCTTTCTCTTTCTACATGGCTAACAAACAACCTCGATAACAGAAGAAGGAACCACGAACAACATTGGACCAAAATGTTTCCCCTTGTCATTTATTTTTGTGCAATATATTACCCAAATAAATTTTACATACAATTACAATTGCAATTATCTCTATCGTTAATAAATTAACCCCTTAAGTTGCACGTTTAAGTTAACTTGAGCAGCTTTGTATTAAGTTGAACCAAAATTGTTCCTTAAGGGGTTTCAATAAAAAATATAACCAATTGGAATAAATAATTATACGAATGGCAACTGTAACAACTTAAAGGGGGGTCTATATTTCTATATGTTTTTTTTTTTCTTTTTTTTTCTAAAACAACATGGTGTGTGTGACCAAACTGAAAGTCATATTATTGCATCGACGATCCACGCGTTCGGTTATGATCTGGAACATACGATACGAATGCCCATAAGCATGACGTCTTCTTTTTTCTTTCTTTTCTCTCTCTCTCTTGCTTTGAATTTTTTTTTTTCTTTTTTTTACGAACTATCGGCCCTTTGAGTCACGACGTTATCCTACACCGCAGACCATGATCTCACCCCGCTCGACATAGGATCCAAGAGGTCCCCGACGACGACGACGACGACGACGACGACGACGACGACACGGAACACTCGACTCGTATTCGAGCGTATCCCTCTTCTTTTTCTTCAAAAAAGAAAAAGAAAAAGAAGAAGAAGAAGAGAAATCGAACAAGCAAAAGGTTCACATGCCCATTGGTATAGAACTCTAAAAGCATCTTCTAAAGATAAACCAAACGATTTGAACGATCATATCAAACAACATATTTCACTGCAAACTTGGGGAAATCAATTTTCATCAACATATTCCAAATTGATAATAAAATATCGACACTGTGTGTAGTCAAACCTTCTGGTTAGAGAAAAAAAAAAAAAAAAAAAGAAAGTTCTCATTCAATGGCAGTAGTATATTCGAAAACGACTACGACGATATCCTGTCGTCTGTAACTCGAGATTATTCTCATTTTATGGGCGATTTAACAAGGCCGAAGGTACGAAAAGGGGATGCTATTGGTGGTGCTGTTGGTGATGCTGCTGCTGCTGCTGCTGGCTGCTGTGTACAACGATTTAACACGAAAGAAAAGGGAAAGTGAATTTTATCTCAACTTGAATGAACATTTTCACCACCTTTTTCTTCTTCTTCTTTTAACCGTTCGAGAGAAAATACAATGAAAGTCAAAAATACAATTTTTCCTTCCTGCCTTTTTCGTAATTGGACATAAAAAAAAAAAAAAAAGGAAAAATTGTTCGACGAAAACATTGTAAGGAAAAAAAATCAAACGATGAAGTAAGAAAA